AAAAAAAAAAAAAAAAGAAAGAAAGCTAGAGCCACCTCAGGAGAATGGAAGCAGAACTTTATTCTTCTCGGCTAGGGAAGAGAACTAGCGGGTGGTTGTGCATAGTACCCCATCCCTCACCCCTCCCAGAACCAAAGAAGATAGGCAGAGCCACCAAAGGGCTACCTCTGCTCGCCTCTCTCCTTTACCCAAGTGGAGGCAGGTGAGTGCAACGCAGGGCTGGGGTGGCTGCAGTGATGGGGCGGCCAGGGCCGGCCGGGGCTCTGGGGCTGAGGAGACCAGGGGGCTGCTCAGGTTGGGGGATGGGTGTGGGGCACGTCTCATCCTGGGAGCTGCCAGCTGGCAGAGGCAGAACTCAGGGGACCAGGACACGGTAGGGGCTGCCTGGGATGTGCTCATCGCCCCACTTGACCACCAGCGTGTACTCTCCCTTGTCCTTGAGCAGGTAAGACACACTGTAGAGCCGGCTGCCCACATGCTTCACCAGGATCTCCTCGCAGGGTGTCCGGGGGCCATGCACCCCTACCAGCAGCATGTTGTTGCCTGGTGGGCAAGAGGCCTCAGTTCTAAGCCCCAAGTCTCCTCCCTTCAGCGGAGAATACGCTGACCCCTCTTTGTGTCTTCGTTTCCTCCCCATGCCGCCCCCATCTGTTGCGGGGTGACAGCCCTTCCTAAAGAGTTGCCAGCACCCTTGCTCCCTAGGCCAGTGTAGGAAAGTCCAGCTCCTCCCAAGCCACTTTCCTGAAGGGTAAAGATGGCAGGGAGCCCAGAGGGGAAGTGGCTTTAGAAGTGACCAGCATGCCCGCAAGGGCACTCCGGCCCCACCTAACCCCCTTCTTCCCATGTTCCCAGGCACTGGTCATCCCGTCTTCTCTCCGGCCTTGTCTTTTGGAGGGGCGGGGGCGGGGCCCGGGGCACCCACCTGCTTTGCTGCAGTCCACCGTGAAGCTGCTCTTTTGGCCCACGTAGGCCTTGCTCAGCCCCAGGCCCTTGGCCAGCACCTTGCTGGCATCAGTGGAACCTGCCAGGGCCCCATGCTGGGGGGCACTGGCAGTCTTGGTCAGGGAGTCCACAAACACGGACGATGTCTCATGGAGGCTGTGGTTGCTGACGAGACGGGGACCTGCAGGGCAGAGCTGGTTAGGGCGCTAAGAGATGGCCGGAGGGCAAGGCATTGGGCTGGGCACCAGCAGTCTGGTGCAAGACTCACCTGTGACTTTGGCCTTGAAGGGGCTGCCCCCAATGTGGTAGGGGCCACCATACTTGATGGAGATGAGGTAGCTGCCAGGTGCCATGGGAGTATAAGTGACACGGTAGCCCTCAGGGCACTCCTGGCAATCCATCTTCACCTTGGAGGGCCCATCGATGGTTACTGACAGGGCACCCGCTCCAGCGTTGCTCGTGTTCACGATAAACTCAGCTGGGCTCCCTGCGGGCGTGGGAGGTCAGGAAGAGCTGGCCTGGACTGTTGCCCCAGCCCGTGACTCCCACCCCCCACCCCCCGGCATAGCTTTGTCACCTCTGCACGCCTCCTGTTGTCACTGAGAACTTGGGGGAAGGGCCCCAGCAGCCGTGTCCACACACTGGAAGCTGCATCTGCTGACCTACCTGTGACCCCACCTTCTAGGCCAGCTCCATAGGCGGACACCAGGCCTGGGTCCCCTCCATGCCCAGGCTCCCCAACTCGGATCTTGAAGGGGCTCCCAGGAATGTGGGTGCCATTGAACTTGACGTCAATCAGGTAGACACCATTCTCCCGCGGGATGAAGCGTACAGCATACTTATCTGAGGAACAGAGGGGCACGCCGTGGGCCTGAGGTCCCTCCAAAACCGGGCAAGTGGCATCTGTGAGGAGGTTCCCCTGCCCACCGGTCCAGCAGGTCACTTCTTCCAGGGACCACCCTGGGCACACACAGCCCGCACCCCAGACCTCCTGAAGCCTGAGATGCCCAAGCAGCTCACTGTTGGTGCTCATTTGGACGGAAATCTACGAGCAAAACACTTGCCTTGCCTCTCTGCCTCCCTAAACAGGTTACCACGAAGGCCTTAGCCTCCGCATGTGAACAGGGGCACCGAGGCAACAGGAACTTGAGGTCACGTGGCTGTGGAGGGGCAGGACCAGCTGTGAGACTAGTGGAATCGGCTGAACTGGCTCTTCTCACCTCCAGGCTGCCTCAGACCTATCTGGTAAGTGCCAGCACGGCCCTGGCTAAGGAGTGGGCCAGCCCCGTGGCTAGACTTCGGGTGTCTCCTTCAGGAGACTGCATCGCACTGCCTGCAGCAGGCTTTCTCCTTCCTAGCAGCTGTGGCTTCTGAGCCAGAACCTCCCCGCCCCCCGGCCAAGGGCTTGGGTCACGAATGGGGGAAGGGTCGTCTGGCTGAGGGAGCCCCAGCGTTTGGGCCCTGCTTATGGAATCTGTACCTTCCTTTTGTACTCTGTCTGCTTCCAGCCAGCTGGGCAGGCCCGCTGCTCCCAGCAGGGCCAGGGAAGATGGGTGGGTGGCCCGGGCAGGGACAGGGCCTCACCTTGGTCGATCTCTGTGACATAGCACTCCTCCAGGGCTCCCGAGGGGCTGTGCACCTTAGCATCGATCGCCCCCTTGGCCCCATTCAGGCTGACTGCAAAAGAGGCTGGCTGGTTGACCTTTAGCCCTGACTCCTGGAAGCACAGCAGATGTTGTTAGACAGGGTGGCTGCGGCACGGGAGAGCAGGGCCCGAGCAGCAGGAAGGCCCCTGGGGTTACACTTACCCATCTGGCGTCCAATTTGGTTTAAAGAGGGAGAGCCACTGATTCTTGGGGACCGGTAAGCTACATGCACACGCCCCCACCCCCAGATCCACACTCTGCGATCATACACACAGGCAGCAGGAGCGGACGGCAGCCCTGCGCTGTGGGCAGCACTCAGCCCTGGCAGGCTATCCCTCTTTAAACCTCAGCCCTGTTCAAAGCCTTTAGACCTGAGACACGAGAAAAACTCCACACAGCGGCAGGGGTGCTTCTGCCAACCCCAAGCATGGGCTGCACCCGGCCAGAGCAGAGGCCCGGCAGCCAGAGCAGAGGCCCGGTGCCCCGAGCTGGGCTGGGCGGGTCCCTCGACACAGGGTCAAGGCCTGCTCTGTGCAGCGGCTCTGGTCTGGCCGGGCCCAGGAGCCCCAGGCAGGCGGTTTCTCTCAGTGCCTCACCTGAAGACTAGAAACAGTAAGGCGGCGGGCATCGCCAGACGGAGAAGCCACAGGTACTACGAAGGGGCTGTCGGGGATGTGTTCCTCGTTGAACTTGACCGAGACCTCGTAGTCACCTGGGCAGGGAGAGAGCACAGAGGGCATGCTGGAAGGCTCCTGTTTGTCCGTGTTTACACCTCCCACTTCCCACAAACAGCCCGGGTGGCCCTGGGACCTCAGGGTGGAAGGTGGGAGCAAGGTGGAGCTGTCCACACCCAGGGGCCACTTCCCCCGACCCCAGCCAAGCTCTCGGTACCTGGCTCCTGGACCACATAAGCCACACCGCAGGAGCCGTCCTTGCGGTCCTCAAAGGAGATCTCAGCCTTGCTGGGGCCCTCAACAGCAATGGCCAGGCCCCCAGCACCAGCTTCCCTGGTCCAGATGCTAAATTCAGCTGTGGGAAAACAGGGTGTCCTCAGAGAGGGCCGCTATTCCAGCTTCAGTCCCCTCCAAGCATGGCTGACGGCAACATGGCTGCTAACTACTTCCTCAAACCCACCCCAGCCCAGAAGAGCAAAAGCCTCGCAAGCAGCAGGCGTACCTGGCACTCCGGCTTCAGCCCTCTCCAGGCCAGGGCCTCCAGCACGGACTTTGTGGGCTCCCCCTTCCCCCAGGGGCCCCACAGTGAACTGGAAGGGGCTCCCAGGCACGTGCTGGCCCTTGTACTTGACGCTGACTGTGTGCATGCCCATCTCGGCAGGCACAAAGCGGATGCAGTAGGTGTGGTTCTCCCCTTCCACAATCTCGGCCTCGTGGCTCTTGCCTGATGGGCTGGTTACCTGGGCTGTCATGTCCTGGATGCTAATTTCTGCAGGTAGGGGGACAGCCTGGTGAGCAAGAGTCCTGCGCCCCACCCCTCTGCTTTGGGCCACCTGGGGCTGGCGCCCAGGACTCCCCACGGCCCCTCCCTGGCTCCCTACAGCTCCTACCAGGGATCTTCAGGCTGAGGTCGCAATGACTGCCAACATTGGCCACCGAAGGGGCCCGTCGCCGGCGTGTGATGCTCTCTTTCACCCGGCCCTCTCCTGTTACCTTCACAGAGAAGGGGCTGCCTGCAGGAAGAGAGCACAGCCCGCACATCGTACAGGTTACGTTTCTGCCGGCACAGGGGTGGGGGCAGCTCGGTCATGGTGACCACACTCACCAGGCACGTGCTGGTCAGCGAACTTGATGTTGATGATGTAGTTGCCAGGCTCTGTGGGGCAGTAGGTGACCCTGCATGTGCCATCCTCTAGGTCCTCTGTGTTGATGTCCACCTTGCTGGGGCCCTCAATGGACAAGCTAAGCCCGCCATAGCCTGTGGAAGGGACGCCGCTGAGCCAGGAGGGCCAAGCACAGGGCTCTTGCCCCAGCTGGTAGGCCACCACCACCTACCTGCATCACGGGTGTCAATGATAAACTCTGCAGGCTCAAACGTGTGGCCTTCATGGAGGCCCTGGCCTGAGACCCGCACGCGGCTGGCATCCCCAATCTCCGACTGGCTGATCACCACTGGGATGGGGCTGCTCGCCACGTGCTGGCCATTCTTCTTCACATGCACCAGGTGCTCCCCTGTCTCCTTGGGCACGAACGAGATCCCTGGGCACAGGGCGGGGCTGTCAGCTGGGGAAAGGCATGCCCTCCCCTCACAGCCTCCTTCCTTTCCAGAAGGCCCTGCCCCTCAACCTCTTACCCACGTGGCCATTGCGCAGTCGCTTCAGCAGACAGGGCTCCTCCCGGCCCGAGGGTGGCACGACCGTGGCTGTCAGCAGGCTGAGGTCCGTCTCGGAGATATTGATGGGGATGTCAGCAGCAGAGCCCACCTTCAGGTGGGACATGCGCATTGAGTCGTCACCTGCCAGGGGACAGTCACTTCATGTCCAGGTGCGGAGGGAGACTGTGCCCACCCTGCCACCTGCCCGCTTTTGTCAGTGCTCCCAGTGCCACCCACCTGTGACCCTGGCGGTGAAGGGGCTGCCCGGGATGTGCTGCTCGTTGTACTTGACCAGGATGCTGTAATCCCCGGGCAGCACGGGCAGGTAGGACACGCTGCAGGTCCCATCTTGGTTGTCAGTGCAGCTGATTTCTGCTTTGGATGGGCCCTCGATGGCCAGGGACAAGCCCCCTAGAGAGAGTCATGGGTGAGGATGGGAGCAGTGCGCTGGCGGGGAAAGAGACCCAGCAGGCAAGCAGAGGCCAGGGCGGCAGGGTGGGGAGCCGCATTCAGGGAGCATCTCCCTTGTGCCCAGCTTTCTACTGGATGAGGGCGGGCGTCCCTCAGCACGCAGGCAGGCTAAGAGTAGAGCTGCCGCTCACCCTCTCCCGCATCCTTGGTATTCACGGTGAAGACAGCAGGCTTGTTCACCACTCCATGGGTGAGGCCAGGCCCATAGGCTGTGACGTGGCCGCAGTTGACGTAATCCACATAGAACTGCAGGGGGCTTCCTGAAGCAGGAAAAGGGGCCATGTGGAATGGGGCCTGGTGTCACCTCCCCAGGCTCCCCGCCCCCCGAACTCAGGCCACTGCGAGGCGCACCTGGGATGTGCATGTGATCGTAGCGGATGTCCATCTCGTGCAGGCCAGCCTCACTGGGGGCATAGCGGACGGTCACGGTGCCGTCCTTGTTGTCGGTGATGGCTGGCTGTGCCACCTTGCCCGAGGGCATCCTCACCTCCCCTGCAGAGCAGTGGGGCCAGGGTCAGGGCACCTGCTGGCAAACCCTCGCCTCTCTGGCTCCCAAGCTCCTTCCTGTTCCCACTCACCCGTGATTTCGCCTTTCTTGATGGTGAAGGGGATGACAAGGTCGAAGGGCCTTAAGCTGGTCACATCCAGCCCATTGACACCCATTAGGGGTCTCTCTGGGGCCTGCAGTGGAGACAGAAGGCCCAAGTGAGGGGCCGTAGGAGGGGAGGGAGTCCCAGGGGTCCGTCCTCACACAGCAGGATGGGGCCTCACAGGACACCCCGCTGGCCAGCCCCCAAGTGTCCCCTCGGGCCAGGAGAGCCAGGACGAGGCAGCTGAGGCCGTACCCAGGTCTGCTGGCCACCCTGGGCATACGTGTAAGACGGGGCCAGTTGCTGAGGCCGAAGCGGGGGCTGTGCTGTGGGCTGATCCCCGGCTAGAGCCTGCAGAGCAACACAAAAGAGTTGCAGATTCTGGTGTCACACAGGGCAGGGACAGGGCAGGCTCCACCCAGACCCCTCAACCCTGGCCCCTCCTGACCGTCACTTGGAAAGGGCTGTTGGGCACGTGCTCGCCACCAAAGCGCACGCAGATGACATATTTGCCCGGCTGGGGGGCTGTGTAGAAGATGTCAAAGGTGCCATCCTCGTTCTCCACCACATCCACGTCCACCTCGGAGCCGTCGGGCGTGCACACGGTGCAGGTCACCTTCCCTTTGCCTGCTGCCTTGGTGTCAACAGTGATCACCGTCTCCTCCCCAATCTGGATGGTGGGGCCAATGCCAGCACCTGGTGGGGCAGGGCAGGTCCCCAAAGGGGGGGCCAGTGTGTGAGCTCGGCACTTGAGCTGCTCCCATCTGCCTGCCACCCGCCCAGGCTTCTTATTGCCACCACCAAGCGCAGCCAGGCCTCCCCCGCCCCCCGCCCCAAGCTGGATCGGTGAGTGGTTTCTCAGAAGGCAGGAAAGGTTCCCCTGAGCTGCCTCAAGCCAGGGAGTCCTGTCTTGGGGATAGCCCTACATGAGACAGGCCTGATGGGGGCACACAGGTGTCTGGGAGAAAGGAAGGGGCCCGGAGGCCCATGAGGCCGCCGCTACCGTCCGGACACGAGTGTTTGCCGCCACTTCCCCTGCCAACTTGGCCTCAGCCAGTGCTGTGGACCAATACCAGCACCCTGGCTGGGTGCACAGCAGCCTTCGTCCCTGCAGTCTGGCCCTGGACCCCAGTGCCGTGTGCAGATGCGGTGAGGCAGAGTCCTGCTGCAGCGTGGGGCGGGGGGTTGTGACAGTTGCCTCCCACCCCCCAGGCCTGAAGGCGAAACTGGAGTTTCCTGACAACTGAGAACACTCGCTCAACCGGAGGCTGGTGGGGAGGGGCGGCCGGGTGCGGCCCGGCGCAGGCAGGGAGCCGGGAGCGGGGAAGCAGGGAGGCCGCGGGGGGTTAGCGCCCAAGCAGCACGCACAGCAGGCGGGGGGCAGCACCAGGGGAAAGAGGGACGGGAGGCCCAAGCCACAGCCACCGCCACTAGGTTGCAAGGGCAGAGCAGCTGAGCAGCCTCTAGGGCCCCAGAGTGCCCGAGGGGAGGGGGGGGCAGTGACGTTATGGTTTGAGCTCAGCCGTGAAGGCCTGGGGGGCCGTGGGCTGCGAGGCCTGGCAGTGAGAGTGCTTGATGTGACCCACCGAGCCCACTCAAGGGCTGTTTAAGGGGCTTAAACCCCTGGCCGAGGGCTCCTGCGGTGCTAGGCTCCGTGCTGGCCTTCCATGGCTCACTTAAGCTCTAGACCTGGCCACCTGCTGCCCGCCCTGCCCTGGGAGGCTTCGCCTCACAGCCACACCTGTCCTGCCCAGCTCATGATCTGGACCACCGCCCAGTCGGCGGCTGCTCACTTGGCCCGCCCGGTGCCTAGTGCATCAGCGGGTCTTGGCTGCTCCGTCCTCAGACTACGCCTCCCAAGTTGGCTCCCCACTCAAGCCGCATCGCCACCAACCTGGTCCAAGCCACCACTATGACTGATCCAGAGGTGACTTCGGCTCCCCTACTGGGCTCTTTGCCTCCATTCTGCACACAGTGGCCAGGTAAACTGAGACCACTCCTTTGGCCAAGTCTTGGCCGTGCCCCTGTCCCCATGGCCCTGTTCCCCTGCCCTAGGCACACATGCCTGTCCTCTCAGATCCTGGAGCCTATTCTACCAAGCCATTGGGCCCTCGTCCCGAGACTCTAGCCACCCTCCAAATCCTGTCCTGGCCACCTCACCCAAGCTCCAGGCCTGCAGCCTCCAGAGGCTCCCAGGTCAACTGTCACCTCTTACTGGCGTCCCTGGTGTCCCTGGCTGGGGCTAGAGCTCCCCTCCCATGCCCAAGCAGGAGAACCTCCATGCCTAAATAACGTCA